ACCTCGCCGCTACGGTCAAGGGCCTCCTGGAGACGACCTCTGCACAGTCGCTTATCCATACATGGGTGCAGGACTAACCGCATTATTTGCAGTTGCTTACACCCCTGTTAACTATAAGCGAACCTTATTTGAAGGTTGTGCAGGCTCCACGTGTACCAGATCGCGACCTCCTTATCTATTTGACTGTCGCTGACTCAGGACTGTCAATGGTTTCGGGCAAGAAGAAGAAGCTCCGCAAATATGATTTTGCAGAATGCTTGGATGCTTCTCGCCCGGCGCGTGTCGGTGCATGGAGGTCAGAAATGCTTTGGGGCAAAGGCCTGCAACAGCTTTGCAAGCGCATGGCCGCCCTTATCGACGAGGTGCGCACGGACTACCCGACGGCGACCATCGTTCCGATGATTTATTGGAACGGCAATGAGCTTGTTGGGAAGGACGGCATCGAGCCCAGCGGTACCTATCCGTACGACACCCCCGCCGGCGAGGCCACTCAGTTGTTGGCAGACACCAAGAGGCACCTGGCTTGGACCAGGGATTTCGCGGCCCGCAAGGGCTGCGCATGCCTTGGAGTCATGACCGGCGCGAAGAGCTATCTCTACGGCTTCTCTATGATTTGGGACCGTTACATGAAGGAAGTCCGGGATTACATCATCGGCGACCCCAATCATATGTTCGTGTACGTAGATGCCACACCCTTTGTCGAGACCATCGATTTGCTGGACAGGTATCATATGTGCTTCAGTGACGACAACATCACGAAGACCGTCCAGTTCATGCGCGGAACCCATCACATGTTGTATATGCTTTCTATCTTGCGCCCCGCAATGGGCAGCGTAGCCGAGCTGACACGTTCGCACGACTGTACCGTGCGTCCGATCGATGTGCTCGAGGTGCGCCACCAAGAAGATTGCACAGTCAACGTTGAGGTTCTCGCGTACTGCAAGGAGACGCTAACGAAGCGCGGTGTTTCTTTGTCAGAGATGATCGGGCTCCCTTTTACCCGTGAAGAAGTGGAAGTCCGGCAGCCTCTCGATTTCGGTGCAGATGTTTCCGAAAGTGTTCGCCCGGCGCAAGCCGGTGCAAAGGCGGCTGCGGTGGCAAAGAGGGACGAGGCGGCGAGCAGGCCGGTACCACTCGACTCCTACGGGAGGAGCGTGACTGGGGGCCACTATGACTGCTGGGTGTATAGCATTCATGATGGCGTGAAGTATGTCGACTACGGTGAGGGCCCCAAGAGACTCGACATCATCAAGCAGCCCTCTTTCGATAACGACCCTTCCGTCAGGAGAATCAGTGACGAATACCACCGTTCCCTGACGTGCATCTCCAAGATCCTCCGTGGTCGTGGAACAGAAGGATGCGGGTATGTGATGGATGAGGACGGCTACATGGACCTCGAAGACCTGGGACTCGCGCTTCGCAAGGAGCTGCGACATCCCATTCCATGGAATATTCAGAATATCATGGATATCTTCAAGCTGGACAAGAAGCAGAGATTCATTGGCCTTGGTTGCCCGGACGCAAGCCGGTGCGGAGACGTCCCATGTTCTCATTGGCTTTTCAAGCTGAAGGCCTCTCAAGGCCACGAGGACTGGCTCCAGATTGACGACTCCGGCATCGCGAAGGAGTGGTACGTGAACCCGGGGACTGACCTCGGGCGCTGGTCTGGCTGGAACCCTCCAACTGTGCTTTATCGCCGCACTGATAAGCGAAATTTCGCTAACATCATGCGGAACGGTCTGCTGCCAGGAGGAGGGGACCAGCACGAGACAGGACGACCTCACGTTTTCTTCGCTGACGTCCCCAGCACGAATGAAAATTACATCTCAGGTGTACGTGCGAACAAACCCCTGGAGATACAGATCGACCTCAGAATGGCCATTCGCGCAGGGCTTTGCTTTTTCAAGACGGAGAGCGACGGCGTCCTTACGCGCGACAAGGTGCCCAACTACACGATTATTTCTGTATTGGACGCTACAAATGGCGATGTATGGTACACTCGCTCCGAGCAATCGGATGCAGGTGCACCAGCTGAGGCGACTGAGGATGAACCCCAGGGGATGAAGCGCGACCAAGCCGTGGTTGATGATCGCTCTACAGCGCTGGAACGTATTGCTACAACCCGCACAAATGTGGCTTCTCCTCGCGCCCCGCAAGGGGAAGCGAAGAGACAGAAGACTTTCAACCCAATGGAGAACGTTGAGTTGAATGTCGCCACGTGCCCGGTTTGCAACAACAGTGTCTTCGAGGGGCAGGTGCACTGCGCATCATGTGGGCAGTTGTCTCCCCTCAATCCACGCCTGCTGAAAGAGCAACAAAAGAATTACATTGTGCAGCGGTCCAATCTGTTGAAGAAGATGGGCCTCAGCACCCACGTCACGGCTCAGGTCTTGGCATCCGTGGGAACATTTGACCTCCGCGAGGAGGATCGAAGCAGCATCATCCGTGGCTTGAACTCCCCTGACAGTGCTGTTATTCAGGAGGCACGGAAGAAGCTCAAGTCCGCCCTGAAGAACGGCTACCACTCTCTGCTTGATCGCTATGAACTCGACCTTCAATACAGGGTTCGTATGCTTGAGGTGGGCCGTCGGGAGGCGGACATGCTACGCATGGAGTTGAGCGCAAATCTCGTCTTGGCTGCTCCAAAGCAGTCGCAAGCCCAGCGCACTCTGGGAGTTGGCCTTGGATCAACTTCACTTCGGAGTCGCGCATCGCAAGGCTCGCGTATATCAAGACAGAGTTGGAGTTCCTGCCCAATGAACTTCAAGATGCGCTTTCCTCTCGCTGGATCATAATGTTCCAAGGGATGCCTTATAGCCCGAGAGCTTTCATCAACGTGGTTTTTGAGCAAGACAAGCCTCGCAGCATCGGTTGTTGGAATGGCATCATCCATCTGCGAAGCAACACGTTGGACGACCTCCGCAACGAGATGGACTGGATTTTCAGCCAGAATGAGCGGTATGCACGTAACTCGATTGAATTTTCGAGGAACGAGAGCAGCAAACACCTTGCTCGCAATGCCGCTCGCTATGCCGAGACAAGTGCTCCCGCCGCCCGCGAGGGTGAGCATTGGAGCCAAGGCAGCTGGCAGAATTGGTCCGGATGGAGCGGATGGGGCAACAGTAGCGGTAACTATTCAACTGTGCAGTGGCGCTGAAAGCGCAACTGTCATGGTTTGCACGTAACAATGGTTCCCCTGACCTTTTCCCTCTGTTGTGTTACTGTTTGGCTGCTTTGTGAAAGGCCCCTTTAACACGCAGAGGGGGGTGAAGAATTTGATCGGTCAGTATGGGGTTTTACATCCATTGCATCCGCAGTGTGGCTGTTCAAGCGTGAAAATGTGCGAGCAGCGCACTTGGACGGTTTGTTGTTTCCTTTTGGGCCCCAAACCGGTAACCCTTGAATCTATAGAAACGGCACGTCTCCTGGGACAAGGCCGCAGCCTGCGTTGGTTTATATGGCTGTGGCTCAAAATTAAGCAGGAGGGGCAAACCGCGGGTTTTGGTACCCATGTCTCCACTTACCAGGGCAACCCATTTTGGAATTCCGGTTTTTGGAGCCACACCCCTATCTAGCTTGACGATTGGGCGATGGCTGAGGTGAGTTGGGCAATTGCTATCGTGACCTCACAAAGGTTTGGAATTTGGGTCAAAACTAGGTACCCGTTTTAGGAACCCTGGTAAATGGAAAGCACTAAAACCTGCCCTCCCCTGGAGGTTTTTGTTTTTTGACCCATGTATCCGTAGCTGCAAGAATCCGCTTTCGAGGGACTTGTTGGCCAAACAAAAAAAGCCACGAGCTCTTTCCGATTTGGGGGTGGCACGCTCCCCGATTCCATGAAGGCCCGTCCAAAACCCGAGTCCTGCAACGGTCAGAGGGGACCTGACTGGAAGTCACCTTTTGGAACATGGCTTCCTCCAAGCTCACTTCCTGAAATCTTGGACTTTGCACTTTTGGGGAACACAGAGTCATAGTGGCAAATAGAAAGTGCATATAAGTTTGTTGTCCAATCTACTCAGAAAGTGAGGTTGGGGGGGCTACGTGCTGCTGCGGGAAGCGAGTTTTCGGGGGATGCTCTGCTCGTCCGGAGCTTGGCAGGCGCAGAGATGCAGCCAGTAGCTTGATTGCATTCAGCTGAAAGATGCTCTGAGCTGACTTCCTGAGTTCGTGGACTTGTAATTCAACTTTTTGGGTTCGGACCATTTTAGTGGTAAAAGAAAAAGTTTGCACTTGGTTTGACCACTTCACTCCGGACGTCCTTCCCAACTCTTGCGGCCTTCTTTCGCGTTTGGCCCGCGGTTTTGCTCAAGGCTTCTTGAGCGATAGCAGTTCGGGGGCTGATTGGACGAGGAACATTTCCCTCATAGCAACAATGGCTTGCCATGGTTTCTTAGGTGGTGCGAAATGGATTTCGTCCATCAGTACGACTCAGGCTTATATCCAATTGTTGTGAATCGGCTAGCAAAAGGGCCTCACCAAACCCGAAGCCATCCAAAGCCTTTCCTTCACCGCTCGTTTTTAGACCAATGAGGATCGGATTTTTGACATGGGTCTGCGAGAAAAGCGTACCAAAAGGATCCGTATCAGGGGCTGATTGGGGTACCTGCAACTTTGAGGCGAAATGCGGCAACCCAACCCAGCTAGTCGGAACCAACCCATCCGGCTAGATCAGCGAAACAGATCATTTTTCAAGTGACACCACCTGCTTGGGCGTTTTCCCTGCCAACATGTCGGAGTGATGTGGATAAGCCCCCACCACATTGTCACTCCATGTTCTCAACTGGTACCTGGTACCCCAGATGTTACCGCACACTGTTAATTACCCCTACCATGTAAGGTTTGGCCAGCATTTCCAGAAGTCTATGTTCCATTTAAAAGTCACATGAGGCACGCACGAAATTTCCTACAACACCAGGAGACACGATTTTTTCCCCTTCAAAGGACACGAGTATTTTTTTGGCCATGCCGCATGTGGAAGGCAAGGTGTTACCTCGTCCGAGGTCTCACAGCGGCAGATGCTGGAACGCCAGCAACAGCAGATGAGGCGAAGGGAAGTTTTCCAGGGAATCAACGTGTGGAACCCCAGCGTTTTGGAGGTTCAGACAAAGACAGGGTGCATGAATATCTTACCTGCTCCAAATACCCGACTTGCTCTTTTCAGGGTATGATGTCAAGAGGTATCTGCCATGGAGAAAGCCAGGTTTTCCAAATAATACCCGGAAAAAGGTCGGAGTTTTCTCCTGGTTTGATGGAGGTCCGTAGCCTCAATCAAAAACAGATATCAAGGGTCTGCGCGAACCCTATGGTAGAGAATAAGAGCGGGCCGCTTCTATTTGGGTGTGTCGTCTTTAAGGCATCCGGACAACCCATTTTACGGTGGGGGTCCCTTTCGTTTCCCTTCCTCCCACACTTAAAACGGATCCCACCGGGGAATTGTTCTGCAACGGATCCTCTGGGCGGAGCCAGCAGCATTGACTAAAACGAAGAAACCCGGGCCAAAGCGAGTGCGTTTGCAACAACTCAACAAGTATTCCAAAGCAAATCAGGGGGCTGACTTTTTACACCAAGTACCTGCAGGGTCATGACCCCTCTGCAGACTCTGATTCGTTGGGTTTACAGAACGTTGCACCAGTTGGGAATTAACAACAAGCCCTATGCGAACCATCAACGCTAGGTCCCCCAGTAGAGCTCTTTGCCCTTTTTTTTTGGGGAGGGTTCCCCTACTAAAATAGACGTCCAGAAAAAAATCGTTGGTACCAACTTCTTCTAACCTCTCAAATCTGGAGGACCTAGGACACCTATGTCCCTTCTCACCTCTTTTCAACCATCATTCTTTTCAAAAACCGGATCTGTTTCCCCTGGGTTTTTGATGGTTTCCTGAAAACCTTGACTCCAAAACCAGGGAGTTTCCTTTCCATTTTTTCGGTCCAAAACAAGAGACTCCGCCAGGGACATGGAGGAGCCGCTGTCGGCGCTGGAGGGCTCGGTGAACAACCTGCAGCAGGCCGGCGCCGTTCTTCCGTGCCGCCCGGACCGGAGGACTTCGGAGGTCCGGACCTTCGCGGCGACCGACGGCGTCTTGAGGGCGACCTTCCTCCATGCGGAACGGGATCCGGTTTTCTTTCTAAGCCAAAACGAAAAAAACCCGGGGGAAAGAAAGAGATCCGTTTTTTTTGAAAGGGATTTTTGTTTCAAAGAAGGGACAAGGAATCAACCCCTAGAGTCTCTGGTGGATGCTGGGACCCAGCCTCGTTTTTTTTCTTCTCCGATTTTGAGTGTGCATGGCCATGAACTGCGGGGGGGGGGCGGCCAAGGCTGGGTTTTCCAAATGCTCCACTTCGATGGGTGCCATCAACCCGTAGACTGAGGTCCCGGGTCCAGTGAACTTCGTGCACAGTCCCTGGGCTTCCTCCCCCAAAAAGGGGCGCGTGTTCCTTGACTTGGCAAGCCCAGGCGTGCGGCTCCGTAGCTTTTTTCGGACTTTTGTCGGAGTGGTCGGCTTTTCATTTTTATAACCCACAAAGGTTGGTCACTTTTAGCAGGGGATCAGAAAACGGACAGCCCTGTTTAGTCAGATATTCAGGAAACAAACGCAACACACAGACACCCACATGGTGTTCCTTCCAGTTGAGGGATTTCTTGAGCGCAAGCCAAGCAAGAAGGATTGGCATGAGATCTCGGCCTACAAGTGGCAGAAGCGAACATTTCGGCGTTTGTTTGAAGGACCCTGCCTAGGTTCCCCAGCAATTGGTGCCCTTTCTATCCCAACTTTTTTGGGGGGAGGGTTCCACCAGAAAAACAGGGTACCCTTATTCTAACCTCTCTACTGGAGGGGTTCTTCGGTTGGAATCCTGGGAAGAAACACACTTGCCAGTGTAGTCGATTCCTTTTTGGGGTCCCAACAGCGCGGCTCAACCTGCACCTTTCGGGACTTTGTCATGTTTGGCGAAAGGGTGTCCGAGCCGGCCGAACCCCCCATGTCCCCTTAGATTCGCCTCCTTGGATGTTCAACCAACACAAATCGCCTTGCCCGGCTTTGGAACGCATTCGCTGATTAAGGACAGTTGGATGCTCACCCCGCTTGAGTAGGTTTGGTCACCAGGGTTACATGACCACCAAGCTTTGTTGCCAAATTCAAATTTACAACCATGGTTATTACTTGCTTGCTGCATGCCTCTTGGGTGGTCCTTGATCGCCATAGGAATTAAGAGAACAAGTGCCTCTTACTGGCCCAGGTTCCTTTCCTGCATGGTTTACAGCACCAGAACATGTCCTGCAAGACCTTTCCCGTGGACTTTTAGACTTGTAGACTTGAAGATGGAGGAAATTCTGCAATTTCACTCGAAGTCGAAGTCAACTTTCACCACTTAGATACGCTCACTTCCTGAGTTACTGAATTCTTCACATTTTTGGGTTTGGACCGTTCTAGTGGTAACAAGTGTTCGGTGACTTTTTCCCTCCAATCCACTCCTCCGGTTACCAACCCTTGTGGCCTTCTTGTTTCATCGGCCACTTCCAGGAAAACGGAGCCCAAACCCCGAGTTTATTTGCTTCAAGCATCATGTGTGGTAATTTTTCCCCTCGGCTACTTAGAGGGAGTGGATTTCACAAATGACCGGAAACTCGGTTCTTCTCAGTTTTCCAGGGGATGAAAGCGCACATGGAGGCGGCTGGGGTTGAGGTCGGCTGATCATTTCCTGCCAGGCTTTTCAGGTGAGGCGGTTACCAAAACCGATTCGGGTAGCTTGGGCAACCAGGAGAGGGGATTGGGATGTTGATGTTCACTGGGGCCCATATATGGCCATGAATCACCTAAATGATGTCCACCAAAGCACGGTTGATGTTGGCAAACACTTTACATTGTTGCGCAAATTGTGGTTTAGTGGTGGAAATCCAACCACTCAACTGTTTTTTGCTCCCCTTCCAACGTCAACCAAGCAGCTCTTGAAGCCATGTGTTTTGGGTGCCTTCGCCCCTTTGATGACTCAGCAGTCCGGGTAGGTGAGCTCCATGATCCGGAGCGAGATCACGCTGCAGAATCGGCTTCTGGACACCGCCAATCAGGCCCGCCTGAAAACCAAAACCAGAAATCCGAAACCCTTCCATTTGCGTGTTAGAATTAGTTTATGCATTTTCCCTCGGTGGGTGTCAAAGGGAAGATCACTGGACATATTTGGGGGTGTCATTGTTTGCGGACGCTCGTTCTTTTTGCGGTTCCAAGGGAACCACCATTTTGGGGGTCCCCCAAAACAGACGCATCCATTTAACGATGTTTTCCAGGCAACGAAAAATCAAAAGCAGGTTTCACTTGGCTGAAAGTGAAGACCTGGACCCCTACCCTAACAAATGGGTGCCCCTTCTTTTGCGGTTTTAAAGGGAAACCAAAAGGAAAACAAGGGTTTTGGGGGTCCCCAAAAAAATGACGCACCGGAACAAAGAAGCAAATGGAGCCAACATGTTGGGAATCGGACTATTGCCCATTGAAGGGTAGTTTGAGGGTCCAGGGAGAGACACCTAATTGTTTGTAGAACAAATTTATTGTCTTTGAGGGTTCTGGTTATTTTCAATCAGACAGGCGCGGCGACTCAACCACTGAAGATGCTTAAGCTGTGTACAATCGTGAAATGTGTTGCCAACAGCCAGCTCAGCGAGAAAGAATAATAGCTGCTCGATATCATTTTTCAGCTAGCGTGTTGCATTTGGGCGGTGACGCATGGCTGGTAACATTCCACGGGGATGTGTTCAAAAGAAAGGCACAGATACACACAAAGATAGCTGAATGAAATACAGGGAAACAAGAGAATCCAATTCAAAGAAAAACACACAAAAACATCAGAACAGCAGCGCAAGACAAAACAAGGGAGATCAAACTTGTCCCAACCCCAGGACACTAAACACACTATGCTCTGATTCTGTTTCATATTTAGTCTACCCGAGAATATGTCAAAGCAGATTTCTGGAGACCCCCAGCAATTAGTTATATATATATACATAACTTCACGGATAATTTTCCCTGGGAATGCCTGTTATCACCACCCACAGAGCCTGTCAAAAGAAACAACTGCAGACAGCGGACCGCACCGCCTCCCGCCTGACCCGCGCGCGCTCGCCGGGGCGCCTGATACCGCTCGCTTGCCGATGGCGGCGGGTTGGCTTGAGAGTTGGTGCCCCTTTGCGGATTGCCTCAGCGGGTTGCTTCGAAAGGAAAGCAGTCGCCAGTGACACGTTTTCGCTGTTACTGAGTGCCCGTCTTTTCGTGGTTACCCGGTCCCTTGGTTTCTGGGCGGCTCGGAGCCAGCCGTCGGTTCCTTAGGTTTTGGTGCACAATTGCGAAGAGCCGGCTGGTGAAAGCGTGGAACCATCCGATTCCATGAAACCGGAGCCGCACAAAGAAGCCCAACAGGGCAGCTGCAACCTGATGCTTTGAACTTTTAGGGAAATTGAGGACAGCTCCGGTTTCAATGGACACCAAAACGAATTCAACCGGTGAATTTGGTGGCTGTGGGCTTTGGGTTGTTGAAGGCAAACCCACAAGACCGACTTCGTTCCTCTTGGGTCCATTCCCGTTGCACACCCTCGTTGCGGGCTGCGGTTTTTCAGGGTACAATCACCGGGACAGAAATACCTCCCCTGTAGAATTCATAAACACCCAAAATTCGTGTGGCGTGTTTGCTTGTTTTTGTTGCTTGTTTGTTTGTTTGTATGTATGCTTGCTTGCTTGCTTGTGTGTTTGTTTGTTTGTTTGTTTGTGTTGTCTATTGTTTGTTGGTTTGTTGGTTTGTTGGTTTGCCCTAGTTAGCCCTTTTCCCGACCGACGCAATGCTCCCAGCGCGGAGATGGGAGCCTGCGCGACCCCATGAACCTCTTTGGGCCCAGAGATGAACCCCGGAAGTTTGTAGACAGATGGGAAACCACCCCGGAACCTAAATCTATTGGAGCCTTTTTCGGGGGGAAAACCGCCACATGTCCCTCACCGCAAGGCCAATACATTTGTACATCATAACCTCCACACCTCCAAACGAACCACTGGAAGCCTACGGTGCTCTTGGCATGTGTCTAATGGAGCAACTCTGTTATTTTTGGTAGGCAAACCCACCACTGCTGGGTCCATTGAATTAAATATCTGTTTATGGGTTCTCAAACTACTCATGTTGTTTCCCAGAAAATCCGCATTCAGCGGGGTATTTTTTTTTGCGGATGTCACTTCCCACTTAAGCCAACTGACGCCAGTGTTGAAAAGGTCCAATCATGCCCAAGCCATGGCTTTGCGGTTTTCACAACGTCAAGTAGGTTGCAATATTTGTTGCAAATGCACATTTGGCTCGTTTTGCCAAGACTTGCAACAAAAGAATTTGGGGCTTGGGCCCCAACTTCGAGTTTTGGTTTTGTTTGGAACCCCTTGATTTTTTTTGAGCCAAGTTGAGGGGGGCGGGGTTGGACGTTTCTTGGGCCGTTTTTCCCAGGGGTTGGGTCTCGTGTCGCCTTGCTCCGAGGATGATGACGAGGTTGCAGACCATGGACCGGAATCGGTGGCTGGGCTGCTCAGCCTGGCGCCCAACGGGGGAAGGGGGCTGGGGGGGGGGGGGGTTGGGCAGATGAAAAGTGTCGTTTTTTTTTTTTGGGGGGGGGTTAGAGTTTCCTTGTAGCGTTGTGTTCTCTTGAGTTTCTTTTGGGCTTAGGTTCAAACCATATGGGGGTGTCTTTTTTGGACCCCTATTTGCACAGTTTTCCTTTTGAGTTCCCATAGCACATCTGGCTGGGTGGCGGGGGGGGGGGGGCAGAAGGGCGTTTTGGCCATGGGTATGGATCCGGATGTCTGGATCGGTCTGGATTTGGGTTTTGGTCCGGTCTGTATCGCTCGGCCCAGTCCTCTGATCTGTAGAACTCTTTGCCAAGAACCCCCAGGAAGAGTTCTCACAGGCCAAGCTTTGGGACCCATGGGTTGGGACCGGGGCCCCAAGAAGAGTTCTGCTCAAGAAAGAGGTCCCAAAATGTGCGACCTTTTATGGGCGCCTCCTTGTTTTGCCCGAACAACCAGTCACCTTTTAGGGGTCCCAACAAAAGGCCTGTGCGGGCTTTTGAACCCTCAAGTGGGTGTGTCGTGAGGGAACCGGTGAAACATGGCCCAGGTTCGGTCGGTTTTTCCTAACCTTGTTTGACCCATGGTGACCTCGGATGAAACAACCTGGTGAAAAAAATGGGGGTGGTTCGCCGCAAAGTTATGGACTTTCTCCAATAGGCGACGCCACCCAGATCAAAATCAACCAGCTGTTGAATCAACTTGGTTCTGAGCCCCCACCCACTTTCCTTTGGTTTGGGGAGATAACCCAATGTTGACTTTGAAATGGCATTGATTGAGAATTTGGTACATGATGGTATTCCAATTGTATGTTGGGCTTACCTGGACGTTCAACCGGGCAAGTTGATTACAGTCACCAACCGCCACTGTCCCATTTTCCAGAGTTATAACCTACAGAACTGGGTTTGCCCTACACTCAAACCTCTGTTATGTTGCGTCCCTCAGATCGTGGTCCTCTTTGGGCTGCTGGTGGTGCTCTTCTGCTACATGGTCCTGTAGCTCTTCCGCCAGTGGGCGAATCGGCAATTGGCCTTGCGAGTTGGACAGAGGCCATGAGCCGCTACAAGGGGCCCGTGATGTACAACAGATTTGTAGACTATTTTTTCCTGGCTTTACGGCAAAGACGAGCATGACACCCGGAAAATGTCTAGGTCCCCCAGTAGTGCCCTTCTCTCCCCTGTTTTGGGGGAGGGTTCCCCTAACACAGACTACAGAAAAAAACAAAAAGGTACCCCTATTCTAACGTCTCAAATCTGGAGGACCCTCTTTGTGTTAAGATCCGAAGGGGGTTCCTTGACACCAGTCGACCATGGGGCCATTGCTTGTGTTGCCGTTTGCACTTGAGGTTCCCTTTGCAGAAGCCAGTCGAGCATTGGGCCGTGGACTTGGCACTAGGCGACGCTACACAACACAATGCGTCCGGCTTGCAATGCAGAATCAGGGTGGCTCCATCCAAACAAGAATCCCCCAAGAATTCTAGGGGTTGATTCCTTTTCCATTCTTTTCAACCATGGTTCTTTTCAATAAACAGCTGTTTCTCCTGGGATTCCGATGGTTTTCCGGAAAGAAGGATCCCTGGAAAGAATGGGGCAGCGTCCCCTAGAATATTTTGGTGTTGCTTTGGTTTCCTTTGGTTGCCTTCAGTTTTCCTGGGACCAAGTGTTCTTCCCGCGGGATCCCGTCAAGGAGCCCCCCTGAAGGGTGCTTCGGTGTTAGCTACAAGGGCTTCACCCTGGCCCCAGTTTCGATCTTCGATGGGTCCCAGCAGTTGCAGGCTGGGACCAGTCCGCGAGCCAATGACCTGTAAGCATATCCCCTGGTTTTGCAGGGCTTGTGATGGTTTTTCCCCGCCCCTTTTGCTCCTCTTGCCGTGAAACACCCCCTCTTGGTTTGTCAACGGTTTTCTGTTTGCAGATCACTGTGCCTTTGCTTCGTCAAAGGCACCTCTTGAGGGCCATTGGGCATCAGTCGCTGGATCTCTAAGGGGGTGGGACGTAAGTATGGTACTCCCCGAGTTCCTGAATGCTTTTGAGGCCAGTTTAGTGGCAAGCAATAAGTTCAGACTTTTCTTGTCGAGTTCACTCGAGGGGCTTATCCTTGGAGGTTCATGAGACATGCGCGTGTCTATCTCCATTGAAGTGGTGATATGTCGGGCGAGTGTGCGGTTCGTGATGCTCCACACTGAAGTGCGGGGCGATGTGACGAGACCGCGGCAAGACAAAACTGGAGGCTTTACTGGAGCTGACCGGGTTGTTCAAAATGCTTGGTGGGTTGTGTGTGCGCGCGCGTGTGCTTGTTTCTATAGGTTACCTTTTTGAGCTTGGTTTAAGGGGAAACCAAGAGGACCACGAAAGAATTCACAATTGTTTGGGTCCGCGTATTTTGACACATGGAACAAATCAATCCTGAATCCTTATGCCGAATGGTAGTGGTTTCTATTGTGGCATCCCACGGATTGTGGATCAGGATTGGAGACCTTTTTCTGTTTGGACAACCCACCCAGATGCTTTGCGGGGCTCGTTCTGCTGCCCTCCCTACTAGTCCTACTTGGAAGACCGCTTGAATGACTTCGGATTAATCCAGAAGATCATACGAACCAAGGCTGGTTCCTGAAAATCAGTGGGCACTTGATTCATGTCAATTAGGGGCATCCCTTTGACTATAGCGGCTCCAATCCTGAGGATGTACTTTGACCCATTTCCACCTTCTGAGTACGTCCTCAGAAGGTACTTGGAATGTTTGGGGGGGGGTCCTACGGATTACGTCGAAGTCAATATCAAGAAAGACCTCTGATGGAAATCAGACGAATACGGGGTGTCACGAAGCAAAAACTCGGCACCTTCTCTCTTTCCCACCAAAACAAAGAGGGCCAACTTGCTTGCCCCGGGGGTAAACTAGGTTTGCCAGTAGTGCCCTTCTCTACCCTTTTTTGGTTGGGAGGGTTTCCTACTAAAATAGACTACACAAAATAAATCGGGTCCCTTATTCTATCCTCTCTACCGGAGGACCAAAGGGATGTTTCCCTTTCGGCTACCACCCCGTTCCTGTCGCTCATTGGTGTGTGCCAGGAGTGTGCAGATTATGGCCTGCGAGGCCATGGAGGGAAATGGGTATGGCTCAAAACTAACAGCTGGACAGCTGCGGTGGCCAGGAATTTTAGTCTTGGTCCCAGGATTGCAAAAAAAACAAAAACCAAAGCAAGGTGCCATTTTGGGCGAGCCATTCGTGAGCCATTCTTGCTTCCAAGTATGGTTTATAAGTGCCATCGGTTGATTTCGGGCCTTCCCTTGTTGGGGGTTCCAGTTCTTTGAGCCCTGGCCACGTTGAGTAACACTTGGGCCCCATGGCGGAAAAAGTTCACCTGGTGTCTGGCGGCCACTTTCTGCGAGGCCAAGAACCCCCCCTGAAAAGTCGTAAAGCCCCATGGGCAGATGGCCCATGTTGGTATCAGAGGGAGGGAGTTCGGGCTGCTGGCGCTCGAGGGCATAAAGCCCCATGTTGGTATCAGAGGGACTTCGGGCTGGTCGGTCCCATTTCGCGGCTCAGTAATGGAGTCCAGCCTCCTTTTGTATGAGTCCTGAGAACAAAACCGCAAGCGAGCCACGGGAAACCAGGGATCCGTAACCAGTTACCAGACTTCATCAGGATTCCTGGATGCTTGGCTTTGACACCATTCTGGGACAGTCAATGCTACGGGCGAAGTTTGCTAAATCGATATACACCTGTTTCTCATGAACATTGAACCATTTGGGGACTAGCCTGATGCCCGGATGACCGGATTCACAAGGGCTTGTATGCAAGCACTATTTATCCTTTGCCGTAGTCCGGGAAGCAGAGAGGGCACATGATGGAGAATAGTTCATGTTGTGAACACTGCTGCTGGTCAGAATGAACAGATGTGTCTGTGTGTGGTGGGCACGTTGGGTTGAACATTGAAGGCTGATCTGGCCTCCACCCACGCCCTCTTCCACATATAATATATGCAATCATATTCCTGCGGAAAACGCTGAAGAGGGTTGACTAGACACATGATGCACTTTCGGTCCTCGAAAGACTCGCTGAGTCCTCAAGACTCGCTGAGGTCTTCACGCTGACCTTCTCGCTGTGGCAGAAGCATTTGAGGACCCGCTCACTGCAGCTGAAAAAAGTGGGGGAAAATGCGGTTGAAAGGGGGGGGGGCATTCCGCAAGGCGAGCAATAACCAGGTCCCCCAGCTAGGTCTTTTTTGGGGAAGGGAGGGTTGCCCCCACTAAAAAGATCATAGACGGGGGAGGGGGGGAACCCTCTCTCCCATTTTTTGGTTGGAAGGGAGGGTTCTTCCAAAATAGACTACGAAAAACAAAAAGGAGAAAAAGAAAGAAAGAAACAAAACACAGTTGGTACCCTTATTCTAACCTCTCTACTAGAATAGTAGCAGCTCTGGTCGGGGCCTTTGTGAAATTCTTTCGTCGGGCAGTCGACAGCGATCAACTTCATGCAGCCATCGCCCTGAAGGTTTTGACGCTGAGAAGTGCACAAGTTTCGTTGACAGCGTTACTTGGACCCCTGGATTAGTGAACCTCTGGTTGATTAATAGGTCCCATGTAAGAGCGAATTCTGGAACACCTCCCTGATCAACGTTGAATTATCTGGGTCGATTGAATGAGGAAAGCCATGTAAGTTGCATACGTGCGCAAGCCATGTAGCGATAGCATTTCACATGAGAGAGGAGCCTCGCAATTTGTCGCATGTTCATTCGATGGTTCCTCGCATACCTTGATCGGCGCATGGCGAGTTCCGTGCCCCTCGTGGCGAGTTCCGTCTTGTTCCCTAGGACAGCCTTGCCGAGCAAGCGAGGCACGGAGGGAGCGAATGGTGTTGGTCAGTTGCTTGGTTACCCTGGTGTGAAAGTGGGCACGAACTCAGAATGTTGGATTTATTCTTCCCTTTACTTGCAGGAACAAATAAGCCATCTACTTCAATCATTAGGATGTGGTCGCCTCTTTGCAGGAACTTGCAAGTTCTTGCAGCCTCATTTCTGGTGATTGAGGTCGGGCTTGGTGTCAAGGAGGCCCGCTTGCCATGCCGTTTTGCCGTTTGGTGCTTTTTCAGTTTCCATCGACCAGATTTGAGTTATTTTCCTATGCAAAACACTATTTTTGCCGAAATCAGGTCTTGGTCACTAGAATCTGGTTGTGCATGCTGACCTTGCGTTCTTTACCGAGCAGGGTTGTGGTTGATCACTCGGAGTTTATTCCCACTGTGATACCTTCGGGAATCTCAACCCCTTTACATGCTTTTTTTTTCACGTCTTTGGGGTTAGGCCCTTTTTGTTGTATCGCAGATTCGTGGATTCCATGTCCCACAACCCTGTTGCCGAGGGCTTACAGGCTTCACTTCCCTAAGTCACCCAGGGGCATTGCATTCCACCAAGCTGAACCGAGTACAGCAAGCTGACTTTCAGCCCATTGCGTCACCCAGAGGCTCCGATCGGCTTCGGCTTTCAATGGAAGACCATTTTGACCCATTAGACACCCCGGGAATTGGTTGGTGGGACCCGCTCAGAACCTGGTTGCTTGAGGGCCCTAAATCCATCGAATTGGAGCCTCTGGGCAGGATGGAAAGAACTAGGCGTGACAGGAACCGATTGAAACAAAGCTGGCACTGACCTTCTCAAACTGCCAACATAAGATTCACGAGGAGGATTCTCTCTTGGGACGTGCTAACAGTCAAACGTGTTCAATGGGTTCAACTGGTTTTGCACTCATGCAAGTGTTACATACTACGTGAACTCCGCAGGCGGCTTCTTGGCTACCCCTTTCTGCCAGCAGCTTGTATGCGGAAACTCGGCCACTGGGAAACAATAGGCCCGCAACTGTGAGAAAAGACATTGAGAGCCCTTAACATAAATTTTGTACACTATGACACTTGCTCAGTTTGAGCAAAGCGTGATTTCTGCGTCAGTCTTTGGGCAATCCTTGGCTTGAATTGGTGGCTTAGGGCTTATTGGTTGTGAAAAGGGTGGCAGATGCAAACCCAAGCAAACCGTTGTCACATTGGGTGAACTGAGGACACGTCCTCAGTTGCAGTACCTTCGACCACTAACTTGATGGCAAATTTCGGCCTCGACCTCCCCGCTTTGGGTTGTCCTTGGGCATTAGCACCACAGCCTCTGGAATGCTTTTGAGGCAGTGGCAGACCGGAGACCCACCGGCGTCAACAAATGGGCTCTTGGATACTCGACCCACTTACGCCATAATGGCCTTTCAACGGGGGTGTTTGTTTTCATGATTTGGACCTCCCAAGACGGTGGTGTGCCTTTTGGTTTTCCTTTTTTTTTTACCACAAAAAGGTGTACCAACTCCAAAAAAAATGATGCATATGGATGGCTCGTCTTTTTTTAAGTTACCCACAAAAACGGTGGTGTTCCTTTTGGTTCTTTGTTACCACCAAAAAGCGTACCTTGAAAAAACACAAACACACCTAGTTTTCAGTACCTGTTTCGTACTGCTGTACATTTTCATGATCCTCAATGCAAACTTCGGAGTAATCTAGAGAACTATACTAATTGTGAATAGCACCCCTTTGAGGGGGAATCCAGTCATTTTCATGCTTGTCATTGACATCATTGTCATTCTCATCATTTTTGTCATTATGAACATTGTCAAACATGTCATACGTGTCATGCAAAACATTTAAACCCATATCATGTTGACAACATTTCCCGGCGTGTGCGTGTCAGAAAAGGTGGACGCACCAAACAAGACTTGGCTGTGTCCAACTGGAAAAGTGAGTCATAATGGGAACGCCCCCCCCCCAAAAAAAAAAAGGCAAATAAAAGCGAGGGGAAAAAAAACGGACCCCCCCCAAAAAAAAGAAATAAATAAATGTACCAACCATAAACAAAACAAGTGGGAGTATCACCCAACGTGCTGAGAGATTGGCTCAGGCCCTGCCGCGAGCCAGGCGCGGCGTTTCCGGCGCCTGGGGGGCGTTTGGGTGGACGACCGCCTGTGGAGCACCCGTCGAACGAACATCCGACAAATGGGTCTGGGTCAAAATGAAACCACCAGGAATTGGACCGCAGGTTTTAGTCCATTCCATTTACCGGGGTTCCATTCTGGGTACCCACAGCCATGTAAACCCAGCGACCCGTGATGTTTTCCGAACCTTGGATGTTCGACCCATGTCAGGCGTCCACCAACCTCAGTCCATTTAGGACGTCGAAAGGGCAGGCGTATGGCTGATGTTCATTTGATTTGTGAAAAGATATCACGGCGTTGAGACTGGCGTGGAGTGGAGTCCAGTGAAGTCAAGTGAAGTCAAGTGAAGTCAGGTGAAGTGAAGCGAAGTGACGAGAAAAAATGAGAGGCATCTTGGTGGAAGTTCGCGGAGAGCTTTGAATCTTCGCAACAGAGAGCTTCTGAGGTGCCAGGGGCTCATTTACCTCGACTCAAAATCCCCAGGTCACACTGGTATTTTTTGACCTCTACTGGCAGTATCTATAATTAGCCTCTTTTAGGGCTTGCGGGCTTTTCTGGGACGACCCCCGCAAAATGAACTGATTTCCACATCGAAAGGGGCTTGTTATTTCTTAGCACGGTTCAGGATGAATCTGAGCACCAAAATACCTTGGCCATTTTAGACCTACTTTCATGGGGTCGAATTTATAGTAAAGCCTGAAGCGTCTTAGCAGAACCAATCCTCAGCTCGGATTTGACCCAGGGCCTTTTGTGCGGGGAGGCGTCAGTGAGCCATTCTCAAAACCTGGGTAAGGAAAGGTTAGGGGCAGGCCCAGCCAGAAATAGGTGTGGAAATTTGCCATTTGATTCTTTGCATTTTGAGTCTTCCCTCAAACCAGGCTTGATTGCGACTCGCTGGTGGTTCGGATTGGAGGTCTTCAAATGAGGGTACCTTCCCTTGGTTTTCATACGGAGGAAGTTTCAAGTCCCGAGCAATCCAAACGGTTCTCCTGTTTGACATACTGTGGATGAACGAAATCCTGCACCACCCAAGAAACCCTGGAATGATATGATTCCCCTGTAAATACCAACTGACCATGGCGTCAACCATGGTTTCTTATTGGTGCGAACGGATTTCAACCATGGGAAGCCATTGCTTGTTGGTAACAGGGGAATCGAATCATTCCAGGGCTTTCTGAACGGTGCGAGATTTGGTCTTCGCAACAACGGTATTGCCAGGTTCCCGGCCATCCGGTTCCTTTGGTTTTTAGTTGTTTCTCGTCGGCGTGGTTGGGGGAATCCGAATTTAACCCGCAAGTGTTCAACTTTGAGCGAAAAAGGGGAGCAGAAAACGGACCGCCCAGAAAAGGAAGGGACACCTTAAGCGGACACCAAGCAAGTTGGAGGCTTTGGAGTTTTTGAAGGGAAACGTTTTGTCCAATTGGGTACGAAAAGGAAACCTTTGATTTAGATCGACCAACATTTTTTGGTTTTTGAAGGGAGACCCACAAGACCGAAGACCGAAAAAATGCCCTTCGGTCCAACTCCCGCGAAACGAAACCAAGTCGGAAAGCGCAGGCTGAAGCCCTGGAGCGCCTGGCGTTGCAGGCGCTGGCGCTGTACCAGGAGCACTGGTCGCGGTAGCGGTGGCGGTCGGGAGATGGCTGCGATGGGCCTGAAGTCACCAAATGCTTCGTGTGGCCCTTTTGCTATGGGTACCTATAATCCCTCCGGAGAAAACAGGAGAAAACATTGAAAACACCTTCAGAAGGATGCGACGTACTTTCCGGGTTCCTGGAATTTTGTCGCGGTTTGGGCCAAAAGAGAGCGGCGAACTCGTGCAGTTTGGTGACTTGTTTGGGCCAGTCCCCGGATTGCTTGGGAGCTCGTGGACCTGGGGAGGTCGTGTATAACGCGTATGACATGTCCTTTTTGAGGTGAGCTTGGTCAGAAGTAGATGGGTTCCCCTGGTTTAGATTGATTGTTTTGATTCCATGTATCAGGGCCATCTATTTTCCAACAAGGTCGCCTATGATCGAAGCGCAGGCTAGAATCCTTGTGTTTGAAGGACGCTGAATTGTCAGATTTCTTTAGATGGCGCACAACTCATGTTATGGGTGAGAGAAGGAGCGGCGAGACGGATCCGTGACATCGGTTCACGGTCTTGCTGCGCTCTTCTGCAAGCGCACTGATTCAACCGATGAATGGAACACCCCATGTTTGCTGCAGTGCTTATTGGGTTGAGGCCCATGGATCATGCAGGCATTGGGTCAACTGTTCCCTTGCATATCTACGTCTTGTAGCGGGCTCACCTGGGGTAAAGCCAGCAGACCCATGAGGAGAAGGTGGTGTCGCACCGGTGTCCCACTTCATCTGTCCGCGTCATGGGACCTGGGAAGAGGTGCAGAATACCCTTTGATGAAAGAAACATGCATCTTCAAATGAGCCACAATCAAAACCCGTTTTCATTAACTTGCCCCCATGTTTTTGTTTTTGTGTGTGTGTGTGTGGTGTTTTGCTTAAGGAGGTACCAACAATCAAAACCCGGGTAGATAAAGGTTAGTAAGGGGCAGTCCCAGCCAGAAATAGGTGCGGATATCCGCCTTCTTAATTCTTGAATCATGGTTCTGGGTAGACCATTTTAATACCGGATTTGATTATGACACAAATCGCCTTAGCTTCGCAATGTGACGCAATGTGACGCAATGTGATGCAAGTCACCAGAATGCTGGCTGGACCAAGGAGCCTCACATGGCTGGCGCAGCCTCAGCGTTGCTGATGCAGGCGAGCCCCGAAAAGTTGGGCTGGACGCTATGGGCTTCTGCCCGGTGAACCCAAAGGACATCTATTCTCACCCCAATTTGTCAGAGGTGCATTTTGCTTGGATGTTAGGACCTTAACTTTTTGCCAACTACTGGGTTTTCCAGTAAACCACTAAAAATACAACTTTTGGCAGGGGATCAGAAAGCGATGGAGTTGTGTCTTCTCGGCAACTGATTTCCTGAGTTCACGTTTCGGACTGGAGAGTGAGTCACTCTGTGGGTTTGGTTGCCATTTTGGTGGTAAACCACAGGTTTCTCGACAGCTTTTCTGGCTCCGCTGGAAACAGGCCGATCCGAGGGAATCGATTCTCTCCCCAAAATGGCAAGGCGCGGTCCAGCTTCCCGCCACCGTGTCATGCTGTTTACTTGGCGATTCCCAGGACCTCCCCAAGCTCCGCGTGTCAAATCTCGGAATTCTTGGCTTCAGGCAACGGACGTGAAACCAGCTTGGCCGGTTCCTGGTTTTGACCACCAGTTCAATCGGGCACGAACAAGTGCGCCCATTTTTGGAGCATGGTATCGTCATGAGTCATGACTATATTGACCGAATTTAAAGGGCACTGCACCGGGCAGCCTTGTCCTGATCGAATCAAGCACCACCTTTCGGTTGCCAAGAAAAAGTGAGTTTCCTTGGTGGGCTGATGCTTGTTCAAGGCTATATTGTCAGGAACCCGGCCTGGCAAAAGGGCAGCGACCCGCAGTTGTGTTTCATCCACAGAATCCTTGCGACATGTGGGCGTCTCTTTTTTTAGGGGTACCCTGAAAACTAGACACTCATTTGACATGATAAGGGTTTCATTCAGCCGTAGCAGCTGATGCTCCTTCACGGCTGCGAGTTGACCGGACCTCCAAAAGTGAGAGTATCACTACCGCCTGCAGGAGCTTCCTACTGGGGCGTGGATGGTTGCCAAATCCATTTCGCACCACTGTTCAGAAACTGACGATTCTCCTGTAAGTACCAACAAACAATGGTAATCCATGGTTTCAAAGTGGCGCGAGCGGATCTCGTCCATCCGCAGTAGGTGCCCTTTTGACTGGTTAGTTTGGATAGAAATAGATGGGTTCCACTGGCTTAGATGGATTTGATGCCCCATTTTCCAGGGCCATCTACTTTTCCAAAAGGTCACCAATGTACAGGGAGTGGATCAGCACAGAAGGCCATGCTTCAATGTTGCTTTCGAGATAGGTAGGCACGTGGGTCTCTACTCTTGTCGTATTGGGGTCTAAAAGTAGGGACACCCCAACATGGTTACAACCATCTATTCCTTTTTATTTGCTCTTGACACTAATCGGGTTTTTATTTCCCTTTCATCATCACCTCCATTGGTTTTCGTTGTTGCTTTATCCATTCGACCAAGGGGTTCCTCGTTTTATTTTATATTTTATATCCTGCGCATCACTTTTCGCCGGAGGTTGGGAATGCAGACCCCAGCACCCTGCTGCAGGTCATGAGCAAGGCAACGAGGGGGGCAAGACCGGCAGTGGTCCCTTTGTTCTTTGTTTCCCTTGAAGCCTTTGTTTCCCTTGAAGCCAACTGAAAAGAGATCTTCTTGAGACATGGTTCAGCGAATATGGTCCAGATTTACATGTTTCTTTCGGGGAGTTGGGGGCAAAATGAAGGCTCAGCGGCTTTTGGTGGTTATCAAAAACATATTTGGATGGGGTGTGCCATTTAAACCACCTTTTGGAATGACGATTCTGAGGGTGATTGGATTCCGAGAATCAACAGGCATTGGTTGGAAATGGGGATTCCAACCCTCCCCTCCAGCACTGGCAGTTCTAACGCTAAACACGAGCAGTGCCGCTTTTCGCTTTCGTGCAGCCGTGTTTTTTGGGTGGTCACCTCATGTTTTGATCCAACTTTGAGAAAGGGGGAGCAGAGGACGGCACGGAGAGCTAAACAATGGGAGGTTTCCAAGCACCTGCCATTGACAGACGATCGTAAGTCACCTTGTTTTCTCCGGCTGGGGGTCAGCGAAAACCAGCAAGATTTATCCTTCACCAATCAGTGAACATGGGTATGTCTTAAAATAGGGGGACCCTCCAAAAAATGGTTGCTTCTTGTTTCCTTGTAAACCAACCCCACAAAGGGTACCCTTAAATAAAGACTCGCCCATATCTTTTTCAGGTCATTTTAATGTGCTTCAACCCAGAAAGTGAAAACCGCATTTGTTTTACGGCGCAATTTCCGGGTTTCCTCCATTTCTTTCCCTTTTGGGAACCTCCACTCTGTCCGCTGCAGAAAAGCGGATACCACTGCAGCCCGATGAATCACAGGCAAGCGCGATGCCGTGCCGTCGTGGCGTCGTGGCGTCGTGGCGTCGCGGCGCGTCAGACGGCAGAAATTCTCGCCTTTCGCTCGGGTCAAGCCTCGCAGACGGGGCGCACCAGAGGCGCATGCACTCCTCGCAGTCCCGTGGCCCACGTCGTGGTTTGTTCTTCTTCTTTTTTCAGTTTTTTTGTTTTTGGTTTTCTCGCCCGGTCCTTTTTGGTTGTTGGTTTGTTTCTGGGTTGCTGAGGCCCCGGAAAGCGCCGTAGGGACGAGACTGGTTTCTCGAGCCCAGAAGAAACCTGTTGGCACAGAGTGCCACAGCCCTTTCAAAAGTGGCAGTTTCAAGGGAATCTTGCTTAACTTTTGAAGGGGACAAGTGACTAGGTCCGCCAGCTAGGTGCCCTTCTCTCCCCTTACTTTTTTGGGGGAGACTAGGTTCCCCTACCAAAATAGACTACAGAAAAAGGGCCTTATTCTAACCTCTCTACTGGAGAACCTAGGTGAAATTGTAAGTTTCAACGTGAGTTTTGGCATGGGTTCGGTCAACAGTTCCAGATGGTCCATCTGGCTTTGGGACATGGGGGACTCACTGTGTGTCTTTTTCTAAACTCGGGACAACCTCAAAGGGGGGGGGGAACCTCTTTTGAAGTCAGGCATTTTGGGGGATCCAACTCGATTTTGAGGCAAACCCTTGTTCAACTACATTCTCCATATAATATGCAGTCAGGGACTTGGCTACGGGACAGGCACATGACAGTAATTCAGCTTCCCTCAAATTCGTGGTTTGGATTGGTGGTTTGGTGGTTAAGGAGTGGTTTCCCGTTTACCCTCTACAAAAAGCCGGTCAAATCCCAAACCGCCTTACCCCTTTTTTGGGGGAGGGTTCCCCTACTAAAATAGACTACAGAAACAAGTTGGTACCCTTATTCTACCCTCTCTACTGGAGGACCTACTGAGCAATCATGTGGGAGGATTCAGCCCCGGTGACATGGCTTCAAAAATGTGGTAGTATCATCATCCTCCTTGCTGATGGCGCAGGCTTTCTCACGTTTGGTAGTTTTGAACATCACCTTTTGGGCCAAATCACTTTGTCCCGTCACAACGACCAGGGCACTCAGAGGACAAGGATTTGAGAACCGCAGGCCAACTCAAAGTGACGTTCCATTTGGTGGAGCGGCATTTACCAACATGAAAGTGGACGACCTTGACCCGAAACCCTTCACTATCATGCTCTTGAAAGGGCCTAGGGTAGGGCATTGTGGTGAGGTGGCATGCCCCTGCACATCATTTGACCTTTCGTGGGGTGTAAAAGCAAGTTCAGGCACGAAGGTCCTGCACTGAAGATCCCTTAAATCTGATTTGCGGATTACATCCTCCCAGAATGCAATGATTCCACGTTTGTCTTGGGAGGGTGTCACGTTTGAGTAGATTCCCGCGGCCTCGGTTCGTGGTCGGTCGACTTCGCCGTCTTCAGGCGGCCATTCGCGTGGACATCAGCCCCGCGTACGCGCGCCTGCCCCGAGTTCCGGCTTTCAAGTGTTCAGGACAAGCGGTGAATCAAACCCTCCCCCTTTCTTCCCCAGAATTAGCTCCCCTTTTTGGGGTTCCTTTGTTTTCCACTAACCAGGCAAATATATATATATATATATATACATATGTTTTTGCTGGGGTCCTAATTCCAGCCTAGCTTTCACCATCCCCTTCGAGAAACTTCCGGTTGGATGCGTCAGTTTGGGGCAAAAATGCTCTGAGAGGCAGCTTAAGCTGGTCGGGTGAAAGTTGACATTGCAATGGTCAGGATCATTTCCCGACCGAAAAATACTTGTTCAATGGGTTCCCTACAACTCTCTAGGGAAGCCTAAGAACCCGAAACGGGCTCTCAACCGCCCCCCTGTACCTACCCCCCTTTGATGGGATTCCATGAAATATCTATGAGAAACAGTGTTTTGTGTTTCTTGGATCTTCAACTCATGGTTCTACGTCCACCGGCTGTCCAACCAACCAACCAACCAACCAACTAACCAGCCAGCCAGCCAGCCAGCCAGCCAGCCAGCCAGCCAGCCAGCCAGCCAGCCAGCCAGCCAGCCACCCACCCAGCCAGCCAACCAGCCAGCCAGCCAGCCATGGTCAAACATCTATCCTCTTCAGTGGGTTGTCTTCATCGAGGTCCTCCGCCTTGCTGGTGCTGCAGCTCTTCGTCCAGCGTGCGCCCGAGAAGGCCGCTTCGAAGGAGTCTTCGAAGGGGTCTCGTCGCAGGGCCAAACAAAAAAATACGAAAACGAGTTGCGGGGAGACCAAGGATTCCCTTTTGTGCGTCGCGTAGCGGGCGAACAAAAATCCCCTGTAACATGGCACTAGGAGCCTTCAAGGAGGCCCCCCATTCACTGATTTTGAGACACTCAGTTGTTCAGTGGCACCCTTGTTCCCCTCTTTTGTTGGTGGCTGCCCCACTAAAAATGGTCTTCCCAAAAAAGGGTTCCCTTTTTTCCCCAGGGACACTGAACAGCTGAGGACGTGAACGAAGCTTCTGCCAGAGGGCCCAAGTACCTGAGGATGGCCTTTGGGGGGTACAAAGGGGTCTTATAAGTACCTCCTTAGGCACCAAAAAAAAGCAACCTCTGGGTATGCTCGCCCGGACGCGCGCGACAGCGCGCCAGCCCAAACGAGCTCGTGACGCACAGCTCCCAGGTCCAGAGGTTTTGGTCCGTCCATTGGAAACCACCAAATCAAGAGGTAGCTGTACCCTGCAAAAACCGGGTACGGTACCCTTAAAAAAAAGCACCAAAAACCGAGGTACCCTTAGAAGAAAAAAGATGTGGAGTCGAAAAGGCCGGCAAAATGAATGAGGCCCCAGAACTCGATCCCCCCCCCATCCCCCATCCCCCATCCCCCCCATCCCCCCATCCCCATCCACCCCAGCGGCAGGTGCGGCCCCTGCTGCCGGGCTGCGCTGAAGCGCTGCTGCGGTGCCTCGACCCCTCGGATCCCACGCTGCGGCGCCACAGGCCGAGACTGATCGACGGCGTTTGGCGGCGCCGAATCGACGCCCGACGCCAACCCGAGGAACCCGAAAAGAAACGACCCCAGCCAGGTGCCTTTTCTTTTGCCCACGTTCTTGGTTGGGAGATTCGGTTCCCCAACTAAAATAGACAGAAAAAAGTGGGTACCAACTTATTCTAACCTCTCCACTGGAGGACCTAGTTGTCCTTGTGTCGTCTGAAAATAAGTCGAATAGTGGCAAACATCTGGTCGAAACAACTGCTTTGTTGAAAAGAACGATGGTTGAAAAGAATGCTTGGAATCAACCCGTAGACCCTGGTTGGCCCCTTTGGTGTGGATTCAGACCGCCTCAGATTTGCTAGGTCCCCCAGTAGTGCCCTTTTTTCCAACTTCTTGGGTCCCTAAAATCTACTACAGAAAAACATCGGGTACCCTTATTCTAACCTCAAACTACTGGAGGACCTAGTTTTGTAAATTCCAACGCATTCTCCGATTCCCCACAACGATCGTTACCTCCAGCCATTGCCTCAGACAACATGGTTTGACATGGGGGAAAGCAGCACGGATCTCTTGGCCAGCAGCTGGCAAATGTGAGGGTCATTCGATTGGTGACAGACTTGCATATGTTGCTCTTTGGGAAGATTGACAAGTGATTTTGACTGTGGAGGTGTGGATGCGGAGATACACCACCTGTACAGGCTCGGGCAGTACGTACTCATTATATCTGGTTTCATGTGGTATATAATTTGTGGGGTTCAATCCACCGTAAAAAAAATAATAAAATGGGGGTGAATATAGCGACCATGATTTACATCATCCAAGTTGGGTCCTGCCATCCTTTCAATGGGAATTGGCGAAAGAAAACGCTAGGGTAGGGTGTGTCCTGGCCATTCTTTCAATGGGACTTGGCGAGGAAGCCCGCTTAGCTCCAACACCCCTCTCTCTGCGCGGGGGTGGATCCGCGGCTCCGAGTTTGCTGGCGGTGACCAGCGCCCTGCACGAGCTTGTGCAGACCTTCCCCATGGTGGCCGCTCGCTTGGGCGGGGGGGCTGGGTCGAGTTTTCGGCCGGGAAAAGACGGGAGTTTCAGAGGAGGGGATTGATTTTTTTCGGGATTTCTCGTTTTCTGGAGCTGTTCAGGTCTGGCAACAACCATCTATAGATCTGTCTTTTCTATCCTTTTGCTAGGGGAGTCGGAAACCACCAACTTCTTTTGAGTTGTTTTACAAGGGACACCGAAAGCCCTAAACTGGTTCGATCCCCTTTGAAAAAGGGTTCCATGCTATGCTGCAGGTTTCGTTTCGGTTTCGGTTTCCCTAAGCCGCGCGAATGGGAATGGAGGCCATCACCTTCAACTGCCGGGTTGGGTGTCGGCCCTCCCAAAGGGGACCTCTTGCGGGGACTCTTTTTGTGGTTTTTTGGGGCTCCACGTTTTCTCGGGTCAAACAAAAAACAAAAGCGTCTGGAGGTTATCATGTGTTTTGTTTAAATCATTTCTGGGGGTTGTCAAGGTCAGCAACTGGTTGGTGGTTTCGCTTTAACCCGCCACTTAGGGGGTGACTTTGATACTGGTAGAACAATGCGGCCACTTCCAGGCAATTCGGAAATGATTCCGGAAAAGAATCCGGTCCAACAGCCCTCAAGCGGACACTTGGAATGGTGCTGTCTCTGACTTCCAAAGAGCTCCGTGGGCTCCAAACCAACTAGCACGACGTTTTGTTGCTTGGGCTTGACCCACAGCGTCGGGTTTTTTGCCATGTGCCACGAAGCATTCCCGCCGTACATTCCCCTACTCCAAATACCCGTTTGCTTCCAATTGGTATTTCTTGAAAGACCCGGTTTTCCACGGCAAATGCCTCATTTTTTTAGTAAAGGGTTGATCCGATAGCTACTCTGAACGAATGTATTTGGAGTAGGGGGAGGCTTTGGAATGACGACCAAACGCTGATTCACATGGAGCTTGCTTGGACAGAGGTTTTGGCAGTTCTTAATCTCAAGCACACGCATTTAGGAGGACGACAATTCCTCATTTCGCCCGTGGCAGCGTTTCCTAGGTCCCCCAGTAGTGCCCGTTTACCCTTTTCGACTGGAGGGTTCCCCTACGAAATTAGGCGGCGGGAAAAAAACACAAACAACAAAAAACCTGAAAAAAAAACAAAAAAACGGGGGGGGGGGGGGAAAAACGGGGGACAAAACAACAACAACCTCGGGTGTCCTTCTTCCAACCTCAAACTACAGGACCTGGCTTCAGTTCGGGGCACCAGCGGATTTCCGGGTGCATCTCCTTTCGAAATGGCCGCCGGTGAAGCTCCAAGTTGGGAAGCCCCCCAGGGGCCAACTCAAGTGGGTCACCAGGGGGGAAAAAAACGAATTACCAGGAAAATAACGAGGAAACAAATTACCAAGAAAAAATGTGTAGCGAAAGGTTTACATCAACCCTGGTGTTTTACCAGGGAAACGAATACCACGGTGCCACACCTTGCCGCAGCCGATGGAAAATCTCGGGAAGGTGCGGGAACTCGGTCTTTTTTGTGTGAAGGAACAGACCAAACTCCCGGAATCCTGATTTTGGCGAGTCAGAAACCGTTGGTTTTATCGAAATGGGTTCCGGAGCAAAATCTTGGCGAGCAAATTCTTGGCGAGCAAAATCCTGGGTTCCGGTTCCGGAGTGAAGAAACCGGAAAGCCACTCTCCGTTCCCATATCCGCGTCCCGTCATGGTCTTTATGGCAAAGGTCAGACGTCAGGTCCCCACTGCTTCAGGGACTCCGGCAAGAGGTAGACGGCGCAACGAAAAATGAAAGTCCTACTTCCAGCCACTTTCCAAACTGAAATGCCAGGACTTCGTTTGGACACCCAAAAAGCCGCCCCAAAAGAGATTTCTTTGCCTGTTCCTGTTTGTTTAGATCGTTTTGGGGAAGCGATGCTGAATAAGTTCCCAGCTTTGCTTTGGTGCATTTTGCTTGGATGTTAGGACTTTAACTTTTTGCCAACTAATGGGTTTTCCATTAAACCACTAAAAGTTAAACTTTTCAGCAGGGGAGCAGAAAGCAACCGAGTTTGTTTGGCTTTGTGCAAGACATGAGCCGGACTCTTGATCAAACACCCGAAGATGTGTTGCATGAACACATGTGCTGCGGCTGCAACCTGAGCTTGTTGGATTCCGCCGTCAATCACAGATAACTTCAAATGACGGAATACTTTTTTTTATTATTTTTTTTTGAGGGTCCCCTTTTTCGTGTGTTTTTCCAGGACAACCAACAGGAACACTGCAAACCGCCATTTGGGGTGGGATCCCCGAACCTAAAAAACACGAGCCATCCGTTCATGTCCAGATTGTGCCAGCTTAAAGCCGCCTCGTACATGTTGCTTTTGGCTTCCCAGTGAGATTTCACGTGGCGAAGGCGAAGGGCAGTCGGTTCAACTTGGTTTTTAGAGCTTTTAGAGCTTTTTGGCGTTTAGGGTTAGGGTTTAGGGTTTAGGGTTTGGGTTTTAGGGTGGTGAGATTTCCATTGAAGCCACTAAAAGTGAGTCACTTTTAGTGGAAGATCCGAAAACGGACAGCCCAGTTCAATCAAAGAACGTTCCAGCTCAGGACTTCCACCAAGAGAGCCAGAAGCCGCTTGGCCGGTACGGAGCGGAGGCTGGTGGCTGGGGGCGGTTTGGTCATACGGCACCCGCTGGTTGGTTGCAGGGAGTCCCAAAAGTGTCCCGTGACTTTGTTTTCAACATCACCCTTTCGCTTTCATCCCCATGAGTGAGTGTCCTTTTGGGAGGTGACGTTCAAGGTCTACAAGGAACCCTGGGGTGGCTTTACAAGAGAATACTGTAGCCTCAACAATATACACACCAACTTGGACTTCTTGGGTGGTCCAGTTGGTTCCACCTGAAGTCTCCTTCTAGCAAACAAAACATGGGTTGCAATGTACCCATCATGTTGGCAGGGCGTGCCACCCTCATTGTTAACACTGTCATGGAGACTCCAGGCAGTTGCGAGTGCCAATTGGACATTCTGTTTGTTTTTGTTTTTTTCCCCGAGAGTTTTCGTGTTTCCCTTCCAGTCTTCCTCACTTCCTCACTTGCTCAAAGAAACCCTTGGAACTTTAGCCGTTGGGTTTTCCATGTTTGCCCTATGGGTCCGGGTCATTTTGTTTTAAACCAGGAATTGGACCGCAGGTTTTAGTCCTTGTCTCCATCTAGGGTTGCATTTGGGGTACCCATTTTGACCCATACCCAATATATTTAGGCCAGGTCCCAAACCTACCAAGGTACTTAGCCCGACCCCTTTTTGCCCCCCCCTTTTTCCCAGGCATCCTCAGGAGGTGCCAAGGGACCCTCTGGGAAGAGAGCAAACATTTCAAATTGAGCCCTTTGGTTTTCTGGTCTTTGTTCTTCTTCACAGCCTGCGCAACCCAACGAACCTTTTGGGACGCACGTCCCAAAAGCTTCACCTGCTCGGTCCTTTAGACGGATCGAAGCAAGGGCCTAGGTGGGCCGCATGGCATCGGTGATGTTCCTGTGGGAAACCCCAAGCACCCCCAAGCGCAAGGGGGTTCCCCGAAAAGAAAAAAACAAAACGGACTCATGTGAGCCACAATCAAAACCCGGGTAGGGGGCAGTCCCAGCCAGAAATAGTTGCAGCCGCCTTCTTGATTCTTTACCTGGTTCTGGGGGGTACGCTTTGGTGGCCATGATTTGGGGGATTTATGTCCAGCAACCACTTATCTTGGCCCAGGCCGTTACCTTTGGTTTTTTTTAGCATGTTCGGGTTTTTGGGTTGGGTTTCTAGGTCCCTGAGTAGTGCCCTTCTCTCTCCTCTTTTGCGGGAGGGTTCCCATACTAAAATAGACTACAGAAAAAGAAGTTGGTACCCTTCTTCTAACCTCAAACTACAGGAGGCGCTAGGTTTCATTTCACCCACTCAACGTTGAACATGTTCGCAGGGCATCAGAAGTGGCTGTGGCTCAAACAGATGTCCCAAAATAGCACCTTGACAAACCTTGGGAGGTGGAACCAAAGACTAAAACCCGCGTAGCCCGTGGCCCTAGCTCTTTAGTTTTGAGCCCACACCCAAGTCAGCCGCTTCGTAGCTCTCCACGCCTCCCGAGGTTTGCCGTGGGCACCGGCGAGGGTGTGATCCTCGTCTACGACCTGCGCACCGCCACCAAGTGGCGCGTCTTCGAGGCGCGTGAGCTTCTTCTCGGCTCGACCTGGGGCTGCCTGTTTTTTGCAGGTCAATTGCTGGGAGTTAACCACCTTTTCGGTGGTTCTCAAGGGGAAACCACATTTTCCCAGAGGGTCCCTTGGTATTTTGTAAGGAGGTACTTAGCCCGACCCCTTTTTACCCCCCAAAAGCCATCCTCAAAAAGGTACTTGGACCCTTTGGGGTTATAGGAAGGCCTACTCACTTCCTGAGGTCCGTTTCGGACTGGAGCATTGTTGTGGGTCTGGACCATTTTAGCGACAACTAATCCGTTAGGCTACTCACTTGGCCCGTCCACTCAAGAAGTGAGCTCACGTAAAAGCTTTGTAAGCACGTTGGTAAAACCAAAGCTCAATGTCTTGGAATACCAAGGCGTTCCAAAGTAATTCAGTCATGGAGATGGGAATTCACCACGTTGATATCACACATCCCATCAGCCTAACAGCCAAACAACCCAACAGCCGCACAGCCCCAACAGCCCAACAACCCAACAGCCCAACAGGTCAGCTGCAAAAGCTCGGTGTTTCACTAGCCACGAGTCACAAGGCGATGGTTCCCCTTGCAAGTCTCTGAGCCCTGTCTTCAGGAACCCTCGCCTCACTTATCGGGGTCCATTTTTTTTTCGGATTCGGACCTGAAAAGGGCTCAACAAAATGCGTTCCCGTGGTGTCCCAATGATTCCGCCCAACACGGGGACACCTTCATTTTTTTGGTGGTTGCGGACCCCCCCGAATTGGATGGTTCTCTTTAAGGCCGCCAAAGAAGGGGCCGGGGGCGTCGATTGTTTTTGGGCGGTTCGGACCCCAATTTTGTTCCTAACATGGTCGGTGGTCCCGTCTAAAACCACAACACACAAAAGGGACCCGTACCCACCAATGAGCCAAAACAAATTGTGGTTTCCCTTGGGAACCACTGAAAAGGTGTACCCTCCCACCAATTAGTATGGAAGACAGGGGGTCCCTTCAAATGGACAATGGGCCAAACCAGGACCCTGCGAACGTCAGGTCCATGTGAAAAGGTGGGAGGGTACCAACCAACTCCCAGAAATCGAGACCCACCTCTGAATCCCAATTGTTTGTGGACCCTCATTTCGGGTGGCTTCCCTTTAGAACCAAAAAAGGAACCCAAAGTATAGCGGCTGCATTGTCACACGGTCCCCGAACTTACTTGAGTGCATGGCCAAGTGACAACAGGATGCCACAAGATTGAAACTCTGGCGCATGTCCAAGTGCTCAGTTGGGCGCATGACTCCCTGTCTTTGTTTGAGAGTGGATCCCCTACACCGCCGGAGTTGTCGAGTTTGTGGGTTTCAATTCTTGTTCAGCACACCTCTATTTCGAGTTCAGCATCGGAGACACCTTTGACTCACAGCGCAGTCAGAAGGCCAAAAGTATCAGCTCAGCGGCAACAATCATAGCAAGCAACTTAGCCAAGGTCATAACCTATGCCTCCATTTTCGGGCAGATGAACAACCATGTACCACCTATTTTGATGTTCACCAGTGGTACAGGGTTTGACCCACAGCGAAATTGACACGATCCGACTCCCACTAGGACCCCCAGTAGTGCCCTTTCTCACCCTTTTTGTGGGGGAGGGTTCCCCTACTAAAATAGACCTCCTGAAAGAAAAGTTGGTACCCTTATTGCAACCTCAAACTACTGCAGGACCTAGTATCATTCGACCGAATTGATGGGCGTTTGACCAAGGTTGAAGTTGTGGCTTCCCTTTAGAACCAAAAAAGGAACCAACTCCACAAAAGTTGACACCAAAAGTTGACACCTCTGAAGCTCAGTACCGGTACCACCTCCACAAACGTGGACGCATCCCAGTGATTTGGTTGAAGCGCTCGAGGGCCACACAGGGCCAGTGGCCGGCCTGGGCTTCGCGCCGGATGGCGCCCGCCTCGCCTCGCCCGGGCGCCCAAAGAAAAAAAAATCGCGGACGCGCCTGCGAGACATGCATGCGGAGGCTCCCTGGGTTTATGGACAGTTTCAACCCAGAGAGCCCCAGAGAAATGGATTCATCTAGTTCATCTAGGGGTTATTTTCTGGGAGCCCCTGCCCCATGAACCCCTAAGCCCCAGATTATTTTCTGGAGTTCATCTTGTTCCCCCAGTGCCCGCAACTTGCCAACTTTTTTGGGGGGAACCCTTCCCCTCAAGCAGACTGCAGGAAAAAAGCTCCCTGAGTTTATGGACGCTTCTAAGAAATGGATTCCTATTTGCTGAGTGCATGGACTTTTGCCAGTTGAGCCACGTCCTCAAAACCCGGGTAGATGAAGGTTAGTAAGGGGCAGTCCCAGCCAGAAATAGGTGCGGATATCCGCCTTCTTAATGGGTAGACCATTTTAATAATGTGATTTGATTGTGACTCAGCTTTTGTATTCGATTCGGAGAGCTAAACCTTCACTGGTGTTGCCATGTGTGTTGTTGTTGTTGTTGTTGTTGTTTTTTTAGTATGTTGGTTCTGTTCATACCTTGTGAGCATACCCTAAGCCTCCCGTGATGACAATTGCTTTCATTTGGGGTCTGGGGTATGCTCAAAAGATATGTTGAAGGGGTCTTGGATATTTATGTGGGGATTTGTGTCCAACCAACTGTTGTTGGCATGTATTTGTTTTTTCTCGTGGTTCGACAGGTAGGGAGTGACCGAGTCCGGGTTTTAGACATAAACTGCTTGGGGATCGTATAAAGAAAGCCAAATGTGGGATGTTTTTTCTCGGGGCCATGAGCCATTTCGCCTTATAGCAGCAAGCCACACCCGTCCGCTTCGAACCTTTTGCTTGGTTCAATTTAAGGGTTCGGCGCCCTGAACGCCGGCCAAACGGGGCACGCCGGGCAGGCTAAGTCGTTTATGTTGGTTCCCGAAAGGTCTGAAACCCAGGAAGGTTCGCTACTAGAACAAAAGGTTTCCAGCGGCTCGTCCTTGTTTAGGCTGGATTAATGGTTGTTGTTGGGACACATTTTACATTTTTGCTTATTGTGATTTAGTGGTTGAAATCCAACCACTTAACTGCTAAAAGTTATTTGTGTTGCTCCCCTTACGTCAACCAAGGATCCCCCAACATGGCGCAAGGGTTTCCCTGTTGGTGTTTTTTTCAAAGCCACAAACAAGAAATACCCTGACAACAGGAACGACCCATATTATGCCCTTTTGGGTTTTTCACCAAATGGAGCCCTTGTCTCTGACTTCCTGAAACACGGGGGCTATGTGCCCCAAAAACTGTCGCGTATTCAACCTCTGAAATGGGACACCTAATCAAAGTGAACCAAGGTTTTATCACTCGACCGAGCTTATGGGCTTTTGACCAAGTCTTGGGTTGAAGTTTGCTGCCAAGCTTGCAACCAACTTAAAAGCTCCCATTCTTGGTGCTTCCCAGAAATCCCTCAGGTTTCCGCTAAACCAATAAAAGTTGTGTTGTTTAGCAGGGGATCTGAGTACAGCCCAGTTTTAGGATATCAAAGTGCCACTGATGTTTTGTGCTTGCAAGAAGCCCAAAGCCCCGCCAAGTTTCTAAAAGCGCCCTTTGGCAAGCAATGAGCTAAACCAAATTCAGAATCACTTCACTCACCTGGGGGAAAACAAGTTCATGATGGAAGGCTCCTTACTACTTAGGAATATGTGTTTTTTTCCCGCTGTGCATCTATCACTAATGGAAATAGAAGTTGTTTTTTCTCCAGCGGGGGACATGGAGATGGGTCTGCTACGTTGGGAAATGAAGAGACCAAAGAAATGTCACGGTCAAATTGGCGGTTCCCAGCCATCCCCTTTGGTTTTTTGGTTTTTGGTTGGTTTAGTGGTTGCTTAGGAAGTGGTTAGTATGGGTATGACCCGCTGAACGGAGACTTAGAGCAATGGCTTTTGTGGGTTGTAAGGCTCACGAACCACTTCCTAGGTGCCGCGCCCCTTTTTCCGTGGTTCCCAGCCATCCCCTCAGCTTTTAGCTTTTTCGTGTTTAGTGGTGGGATTTCCATTTCTCCTGCTACAAGTTGAGAGCTTTTCGCGGATCCGAAAACGGGCGGCCCGGCTTTCATCAGGCACTCCATGCTTGATTTGGCGTATTATGGCCACGACGCTTGCAGGTACAGCAGCCAAGACTGCACTGTGCGGATGTGGCAGACCGGCACTGGAGGCGCTGAAGACGTGAAGACGTGGCTGGCTCTGGTCATTGTGTTGACTTCTGGGGGTCAAAGGCAGAACAGGTGGTTGTGTCCCTTTGACCCACCACTATAGTACTAAGGGGGCGACTTTGATTCTGGTTAAGCAAGATTTGGCCAGCCTGGTGAAGGTCGTTGAGGGGTTTTGGTGTGGTTTTCAAGGGACACCAAAGGAAAGCCGCGATCCGTGTTCGGGGTCCGAGTCCGATGGTTTTTGTGTCGGTGTCCCTTCAATCCAACCTCAACTTGTCGGTGCGAGAGATGCAGGGAATGAGAAATGGAACGAGCCCCGAGGAAAAAAACAATTTTAATAGAAAAAAACACAACAACAACAAAAAAAAACATCCCCGATTTGGTTTCCTTCAAGCGAATCCCCAAACGGTTCATTCCCAACACCCGGACTCGGTCATTCCCTACTGAGCACCAGCAAGCAACACACGATCCCGACCAAAGTAGCAGGTGCGCGTTCTTGACATTTTTGGGTCGACCGGTAGACCACTTTTGTACCAGGGTTTGATTCTGAATCCTGGCTGAATATGTTTGGGGCTGTTTTAGGTGATTTGGATCCCAATTGCAAAGGGGGTGGTTTTGGAGAACCAGCATGAGTGAGCATTCATTTGGCTGTGGGTCAAAACCAATGGTATCATGGTGCACCACCCATTTTCGTCTATTTTAGTGGGGATTGGGATGTTCACTGGGGGTTCGCGATTTTGACCCGTGGCCATTTGGAGGCCTGTTGTTGATGTGCCTGAATTGATATTTGGTTTCGACAAAAGCTGAAGCGGCCCACTCGTCAGCTGACCAGACCGCGGGGGGCACACCTGATGGATTCCACCAGAGGCTACTTATCGATTTGTGTGTGGCTTCTGAACGCCACCAGGTCAAGAGCGTGGTATCTCCCACCCCTGTCCCGTTTGTACAACGGCTATAATCTGCTTCCGAAATGAGTTGAACATGCGAGAAAGCAGGTTCCCCATTTCGGTACAGACTCATTTGCCAAAGTGTGTCTTTGGCGGAGTGAGAGAGGTTGGCATTTGCACGCATGTGTTCAATTGCATTTGGCAATGGGGATCGCATTCCAAGCTTGGCTTTCGAGGCATTTGCTGCACATGCTCTTGAGATCATGTCGTGGCGGTTTCCAGTCATCCTCTTAGGTTTTGCGGTTTGGAGGGTTTCAGTGCTGGTGTTCATTGAAACCCACTAAACATGAAACTTTTAACAGGGCATCAGTTTGGACAGCCCGGATGTTCCGTTGCTTTCTTGCTCAGCGCCGACCGCTTTTGAGACATCTCAGCCACCCACATGGTCATCACTCGAAGGGCGGTTGGAGCATCTGACGTCTCGGAACCGGCGCCCTTGAACGGGGTTGGTTACATTTGCCCAATTGAAACATGTTTTTCCCCAACAGCTGAAAGCTTTGGGGTCTCAGCCCAGATAGGCTCCGGGGTGGTCAGGGTGGCCCTGAGGTAAGGTTCCACGAGGTTCCACCGGGTTCCACCAGGGTTCCACCAGGGTTTTACCAGGGTTCCACCAGGGTTTTACCAGGGTTCCACCAGGGTTCCACCAGGGTTCCACCAAGGTTCCACCAAGGTTCCACCAAGGTTCCACGAGGGTTTTGCGAGGGCTGTGAGGTGCGAGCACTGAAAAGAGCACTGCATGCTGTTGGGGATATCACCTGAGCTTATTTCCACAAAAAGGGAAACCACCATTTACAAGGCAATGTTCAGGTGTATAATGTAAGGATCCCTGTTGAAACCCCATTCCACACCTCCGAAGTTGTTGATCGCCGCGGGCGAATGTGCAAAGGGTGGTTTGTCTGTTGGTTTTCCGCGAAGAAGCCATCCGAAAAGGAGTAACCCTCAAAAATACACCTCCCCCCCACCCCCCCCACCTGGCAAGACTCGCTTCCTGAGTTCATGGACTTGCAGCACTTTGGGAAGACCATTTTAGTCGCAAATCGTGATATGTGCGTGTGTGTGTGTGTGTGTGTCAAAATCAAAGTGAGTTTTTTCGTTCCACGGGTCCACGCCCGGCTCATGACGCATGTGCAGTGTCACCAGGATTCGGATCTCCAAGCTGCAGCTTGAGCAAACATGACCTTGGGATGGGCAAAAGGGACTCCACCCTCACAGTCACAAATGTCGCCTCCGAGCTTCAATACCCCGTGCGGATTAAACAGGCGGTGTATCGAACTCGCATCCGGTTTTGCGCAAACCGGTTCATCAGATTCGACCGGCTGATCACCTGCTTTGGACCTTCTCTTCCATATCCTTTCCTGTGTTTTGTTCTTTCCCCCCGTTGGTTTTAAAGGGAATGTATCACTGTACTTGTTTTTGCTTTAACTTTTTTTGCTAGGGGCGAAGAAGCAAATGGAGGTTCCCCAGTTGATTTCAAGCTTACCGGGGAGTGGGGGGTTGTGGTGGCTGCGGCCCGCGGAGCGACCGCGCTGGAGGCTTCTTGGGGCTCCTGGGCCAAAGCCGCTGCATCCGCCAGCAGTCGCGGCTCGGAGAGTCGGAGCGGGCTGGCGGGGGGCTGGGTCCTTTTCGGGAAAACAAAAACGCCATGGGATTGCCTCTAGGTCCCCCAGTAGTGCCCTTGTACCCTTTTTTGGGGAAGGGTTCCTTTTTGGTTGATTTGGTTGAAAAGTGGAGTGCGATTCCTGGTTTACCTGGTGGTTCAATCAACTACCAGGGCCATCTATTTTCCCAAAAAGGACACCTATGGCTGGGGGTCCTATTCATTCAGACAAAACGCCATGGGATTGCGTCTAGGTCCCCGAGCAGTGGGTGCGGTGGAGGGGGTGGGGGGGGGGAGAACTTCGAGGCTCTGTGCCAGTGGTCTCCAGTCCTAAACAGGGCACTAGCGGGGTTTTGTCGGAAAGTCTAGGTCCCCAGCTAGGTGCCCTTTCTTTTACCAACTTTTTTGGTTGGGAGGGTTCCCCTAAAATAGACGACTGAAAAACGTTGGTACCCTTATTCTAACCTCTCTACTGGAGGACCTAGGCCCAACAACCCCCATGGGAAGGTGTGGGAACATCACTCTCCGTTTGTGGACCCTCCTGGTCCACTTCCATGAAGATCAGAAAGAGGGTTTATTAGGGTTGCGTATCAAACCACAAGGAGCATAGGTTCGGCGAACTCTGGGGAAGACTAGAAGATTAGGGAACCCTAAGGAACCCTACACCTCTCAGCTGCACCTACCCCCCCTGTAGGTGTCCTTTTCCGGTTTGGTTGGTGTGGTTAGCACAAGTCATTGGATTCCTTAATAGGGAACCCTGGAGAACTACAAAAATCAAAAACGAGGAAACTCTGGGAACCCTGGTACCATGGGGGTCCTTTTTTTGTGTATTTGGGTCAAACTTGTTGGATATTGCAAGTTTTTTTTGGGCTCATTCTCGTATTCCCTGCTGAGAACCAGCAAGCTTAGAGCCTGTCTTAAACAAATAGGGCGAATAGTAGCCATAGGTGTCCTTTTTCGGCTAGTTTAGTTGGAAATAGATGGGTTCAACTGGTTTCGATGGTTGTATGCCCCATTTGCCAAGGAAATCTATTTTACCAAACGGACACCTATGCTCCATTGGGGTTCCACCCACCCAGGTAGCTTAGGAGTTTGACCAGCGGATTGCTTTTACATGTGCAAAGCACTAGAAGACGGAAGAGGCATTCAATCGCGTAGAAAACACGCCAAGGTGTATTGTTTCTCCTCAAGCAGCAAGATTGTTCAGTGGCTCTTTCGCAAAAGTAGTTTGGATGTGCGATATCCCTTAGCAAAGCGAGCGCAAATCCAAATCATGTAGCAATTGTTATGTTTGCAAGCAGCCCGTGTTCATGAAACGAGCGTTTTTTTTTGGGGGGGAACGAGCACTTGTTTGATCATTGGGCGGGGCGAACATAGTTGGCCTAAGTATGTTACTTTCGTGACGCATAATTGTGTAAAAATGGAAGGTCCACGAAACTATGGGGTGAGTCTAGATTTATATATATATATATATATCTAGTGTGGGGGATTTTCTTTTGGTTTCCTTTAAACCCACAAATAAGGATACCCTCAAAGACTGGCAGACCCATTCTCATTCAAGCTACCCTTAAACGTTTAAACATGTCCCGAAATTATGGGTGAGTCCCCATACGTATACACATAGGAACACAACCATTGTCTAAAAAGTATCGGGTTCCCCATGTGAGCCACAATCAAAACCCGGGTAGATGAAGGTTAGTAAGGGACAACCCCAGCCAGAAACAGCTGCGGCCGCCTTTGTTTTTCCTTGCATGGTTCTGGGTCAACCATTTTTATACCGGGTTTTGATCCCCATATGTACATGTACACATAGGAACAACATGACCATTGTCCAAACTTATGAAGTTCCCCATTTACAATTGTAGTTTGAGGGCTCAGGTTCCTAGCCGCAAACATTTTCTTTTGCCCTTCGGCGCATTCTGAGGCTGCCGCCTGTGCCGGAGGGTGAGTGGAGGCTGGACTCGAATCGAATCGGCAACACGAGCGCGCGAAATGGATTTGGAATGGCTGTGCTGTAGAGACCCACCCTGGTAACCGCCCAGGCTCATTGATCCAGCGTAGCCGATTTTCAACTTGAGTGAGTCATTTCAGACAAGAGCACACATCAGGGCCTAAAGGGTAATTACCATGAAGCCAAATTACTTCATGATCGTGGAGCAACAGAGGGTTTCATTGTTTAAGTCCACATACTGCGCTATTTAGGGAGCTTATGTGAACCCATGGTGCAGGTCCAGCACGCTTAGATTTCTCAATTCAGGTTGGTGATTGGTGCAGATGAAGATGCTGAAGCAGATTTGGGCCGTGCGAACCCTCTAGTGCACAATTTCCAAGCGGGGGGTTGGTTCCCTGTAAACCCATCTTCAAGGGCTGTTCGTATTTAAGAGCAAGGATGCCTTGCCAACATCCTCCTTTTCGTTCACGGAAACGGCCGCCTACGTAAGCTGCAAGCTGGCCATGGGGTCTCAATTAAACTCCTTGGTAAACGGTTTTGCTGTCCAATTGGGTTGCTATGACCCGAAACCAGACGGCAAAGAAAGCCCTAGAATCTGTTACCAGCCAACAATTCTGTACAAACAGCCAACTTTTGTTTGAACAATAAATCAACAATTCTGATGCCCTACTCTGTACATTGTGGGACTTACCTGCATTCCCACTCGGTTTTCTAGGGTTCAAACCTCAACAAAGCATCTTTTGAGCACCCAGGGCTTCGTTGTTTTCGTTTTTTTGCGTAAGGTGCACTGTGGACCAGAAGCAAACGTCTGGTTGGAAGCATAAGCTTTGGTACCAGCCATACCCCTTCCCAGACGAGGCGCCAATGCGTTTGCTTCTTTCACCCCCCGAAACAAAACAAAAAGGAAACAAAAAGGAAACAAAAACGAACGAGGCACCATCCCCCCAACAGTTGGTGGTTTGGAGTGGGGATTTGAACCTCTGGTTCTTGAGGGCAAATGGGAAAGCACTTGCTCCAAACCACCGTTTTTCAGGGGAAGCTGAAATCGCGCCCTTTTGCCCTATGGGTCTGAGACTGAGAAGGCTCGCAAATGCAAGCATATTTCTTCTTTTCCCCTGTTGGTTTTAAGGGAAACCTATCACTACTGGACATTTCGTTGAATGTTTTCCAGGAGGCTCCAGCAATTGGAGGTTTACAAGAGTCTTTTCAGGTTCCATGTCGATTTCCAGATCGATCAGGGCGGTGTGTTTGCGCTTCTCGGAGCGCGGCGTGCGGCTGGTGCGCGAGAACGGTGCTCGCCTCGGAGATCTTTCCGATGCACGTGGATTGGTGATCGGCCTGAAACGGTTTCCTTCCATTGGTGATTGGCCTTGCCAGAAAGTTGTGGTTGAAAGCTCAGACCAAGCAATTCTAGAACCATGGGAGTCCTAGCACCTTTCAATATCTTTCATTCGCTGAAAACAGTATGTTTTATTTCCCCTGTTGGCTTTAAGGGGAATCTATCACTACTGGACATATTGCTTATTTTGTCCGGACTTGAGCAAATGGAGGTTTTCCCAATACAGCATGCTGGTCAGTGTAAAGGGCCTGACACCGAGCCCGCGGACTAAGGGGCTGTTACGCAATGAACGCAGGAAAACACTAGGTCGAAGCTGACTATGCAGCCAAGTGACAGGCAAACACGGCATGGCATGATTAGACATGTACATGGAGGGTGTGATTTCTTTAAGGAGAGCCCCAAACTGGTGGGTTTCCCTTTGGTTTCCCTTTTAAACCAACCAAAAAAAGGTACCTTCAAAAAGACAGACCCAAATAGTGGTTTCAACAAGCGGTTGACCCAACTCTTCTTTGAGCCGTTGGCCGTTTAGTGGCTTAAAGCCTGCGATCAAAAGCCATGGGGCCTCTTTCCGTGACACGGGCATCCCCTCGTGACAAGGTAGTCATGGGAAACGGCCTGCTGGGGTATTTCCCAGGAGCAGTGAACGCGGAGCACGTTTTGTTGAAGGTTCATAGGAACACGGGGGCTGCCCCCCCCCCCCCCGTCCCCCCGCTTAGAAAGGTTCTCGGAACCTCGAACGACGAGGTTCTTAGATGAGCTGTAACAGATCTCGGCGTTTCAGGGGCCCTTGCGAATCTATGGCCTGCCCAATCCTTCCTATGGTTTGCTGGACCTTTCAGGGTTACCCTCCCATGTCCATTCGGGTGTCCACTTTACCAAGGTGTTAAGTTGGCAGATGTCTTTGAGCCACAACCATTTTTCTACCTAGGGATTGGGAGCAAGCCTGTCAACGATAGGGAGGACAGAGGCCCCTCAGCCCGGAAATGTTCTTAGAGCCTTCTGAGGGGTTCTTGGAAAGGTTCTCAGAGCCCTCCTGGGGGGGCACGAATCTCCAATGTCTCTCAATTTTTGAAATTCCAGATGAGTAGCGTTTCTTGAGCTCCTCCATTACGTAAAGGTACAGAAATTACTCTTTATTCTTTGAAGATGTGGCTTCCGCGCCACCGACCGCGGAAGCCCACGCAAGCTTTGCAGAAGTTTGTTTTTGCTTCGCGGAAGCTTGGGACCCATAGCACTTTTGGGCAATGGCACCCCCTATGCATTAGTTATGGGGGCTGGGGGGGAGGGAGGCAAGGGGGAGGGAGCCCACATATGCCCCAAGCAGCGGATTTTCCATGGGACCCACAAAAAGTTAAACTTTTTACAGGGCTCAACAGCAGGCAAGATTTCAAAGGTCAGAGGTGAGGTTGCACAGGACTGCGACTTTGGGTGTAAGAACATCTCGGTGTCTCGTCTGAAACGTCTCGCAGGATGGCCCCCAAAGGCCCACAAGCAAGGGAGTGTCTTTTTTCAGGGAACTCGCTCTTTTTGGGGACATTTGGGTGTCGTTTTCAAGGAACTCACCCGGCCTGTTTCCAAGCAAAACCAAGTGACACCAAAGTAATTAGGGAGCCACACCCAAGCAGCACTCACGCCCCCTCAAAATTCGTCTGGGTACATAGCAAGGGACAGTCCCGACCAGAAATGGGTGCAGCCGCCTGGGTAACTCTGTACATGATTTTGGGTTCACCGGTTTGGTACCGATCAGTTTTGCTTATGACACACCTGGGGGTAAAACAAGTTCATGAAGTCTTCTTGCTTGGAGATTGCCTATTTCCACTGTGTGAAGTTTTCTTGGGTGCATTTTGCTTGGATGTTGAGACTTTAGCTTTTTGCCAACGAATGGGTGTTCCATTAAACCACTAAAAGTTGAAAACGTTTAGCAGGGGAGCAAAATTTGGTATCCTCCCATCCAGCATGGAACCTGACTGCTTCTGGACCAACTCAAAGGCACCCTCTCGTGGGTTTCATGTGAGTTCCTGGGGTAGTGAGCCACAATCAACACCGATTCGGGTAGACGAAGGTTAGTAAGGGGACAATCCCAACCATAAATAGCTGCGGATATCCGCCTTCTTCATTCTTTACATGGTTCTGGGATTGCGGCCATTTTAATACCGGGTTTTGATTGTGACTCTAGTGTCCCCATTTGTGTCCCTTTCTCGAACGACCGCTCGATCCAGTTTTTCTCCAAGGTGACATGCTACACCTGGGCATGGGCTGAGCTCGAGATGTTTAAGCTGGCGGTTCACACAGTTGAGGCTTAACGGACCGGGCAACAGAAAACAAGAACTTATATCGCCTCATATCGCCTCTCAGATCTAAGAACAGATTGTTTCCTTTGCCGCAAAAGGTTGGTTTTTCTTTGCAATATATATATATATATATATTTAGGACTCGACTGTGGAACCGCCTGAGGATTGTACATATGCGACTTGTCCAGCAGGAGAAAACACACACATTGAGGCCAATCCCCGAAGCGCCAGCATGTCCGTCGGTGGTGTGTTGGTTTCTCGATACTTGTTTGCACCGGTTCCACTAAAACCAGGCTTCCCTTGTGGATGCCTTGGAGGGGAAAACACCTTGGGCTTGGCTTAAAGCAGAACAACGCGGCAAACCGCTGATTTCGGAGGCTCTACTTTGAGAGAAACTGACTGTATGACATAACCTGAACGTGAAGCACCCTTGAGCCTCCGTTTTGATGGTGTTCTAAGGGAAACTAAAAGGATGCTAAACATTTGTGAGGGCCAGCCAAATATTCATATTATTTTAGAGCCTCCGGCTCAGTCCGCCGACATTGTCCTCTCCCTTTTCTCCTTCTTCCTCTCTTCCTTGTCTCCCTTGTGTGTTCTGTCGTCCTCTCTCCCTCCCTCTGCTCCCATCCTCCCCATCCCCCCAAGCCTCTCTCTCCCCAATCTCCCTCTCTCGTATGTATGCATGCATGTACGTATGTATGTATGTATGTATGTAATGTAATGTAATGTAATGTATGTATGTAATGTAATGTAATGTATGTAATGTAATGTAATGTATGTATGTATGTATGTATGTATGTATGTATGTATGTATGTATGTATGTATGTATGTATGTATGTATGTATGTATGTATGTATGTATGTATGTATGTATGTATGTATGTATGTATGTATGTATGTATGTATGTATGTAATGTATGTATGTATGTATGTATGTATGTATGTATGTATGTATGTATGTATGTATGTATGTATGTATGTATGTATGTATGTATGTATGTATGTATGTATGTATGTATGTATGTATGTATGTATGTATGTATGTATGTATGTATGTATGTATGTATGTATGTATGTATGTATGTATGTATGTATGTATGTATGTATGTATGTATGTATGTATGTATGTATGTATGTATGTATGTATGTATGTATGTATGTATGTATGTATGTATGTATGTATGTATGTATGTATGTATGTATGTATGTATGTATGTATGTATGTATGTATGTATGTATGTATGTATGTATGTATGTATGTATGTGTATGTATGTATGTATGTATGTATGTATGTATGTATGTATGTATGTATGTATGTATGTATGTATGTATGTATGTATGTATGTATGTATGTATGTATGTATGTATGTATGTATGTATGTATGTATGTATGTATGTATGTATGTATGTATGTATGTATGTATGTATGTATGTATGTATGTATGTATGTATGTATGTATGTATGTATGTATGTATGTATGTATGTATGTATGTATGTATGTATGTATGTATGTATGTATGTATGTATGTATGTATGTATGTATGTATGTATGTATGTATGTATGTATGTATGTATGTATGTATGTATGTATGTATGTATGTATGTATGTATGTATGTATGTATGTATGTATGTATGTATGTATGTATGTATGTATGTATGTATGTATGTATGTATGTATGTATGTATGTATGTATGTATGTATGTATGTATGTATGTATGTATGTATGTATGTATGTATGTATGTATGTATGTATGTATGTATGTATGTATGTATGTATGTATGTATGTATGTATGTATGTATGTATGTATGTATGTATGTATGTATGTATGTATGTATGTATGTATGTATGTATGTATGTATGTATGTATGTATGTATGTATGTATGTATGTATGTATGTATGTATGTATGTATGTATGTATGTATGT